TTGATGTTGTTGAACTTTCATTTCTGAAAGAATATCTCTGATCTCCCCTCACCGGTGCATGCTGTTTTCTCTCAATCAAAGTGTGCCCCCCGACGCTCGTACCCTGTTCTTTTGACAATGAAAGTCTTGGTGCTCAAACTGTGCCCCTGACCCCCCGGATTACAACAACAATGGTTCCCGCCATAGACTTCCTCCAAATTTACTCAGGACCCCCGCTCCCGCCTGAGACTTCCTCACCATTTACTCAGGATTGGTGCTCCCGCCTGTGACTTCCTCGCAATTTACTCAGGACCACCGCTCCCATATGAGGCTTCCCTACAATTTACTCAGGAACGGCGCTCCCGCGTGAGACTTCCTCGCAATTGAATCGAGACTTCCTCGCAATTACATCAAGACCCCCGCTCCCGCCAGAGAACCCCTCACACTTTATTCAAGAATTGCGCTCTCGCCTGCGACTTGCATGCTATTTATTTAGAAATCGCGCTTTCGACGCTCAAGAGACACGCTGCGCCAAGGACGCCGTCACAATGGACTTAGGAATCGCGCTCTCGCAACACTCAGACATCCCGGTTGAATGTCCCACCCGCCCGACCCGTCAGGGGATCGCCCGCCCGTCGTGGGCTCCCGCCCGAGACTTCTTTCACAGGAACGGCGCTTTCGCCTAGGACTTCCTCGACCGTTCACGCTGTTACCTTCCTGCTCCTCCTCCTTCCTCTCCCTCATCCCTCCTCCCTCCTGTCCTCCCTTCTCTCTCCCTCCTCTCTTCCCTCATCCTTATGCCTCTCTGCCCTATCCCCTCTCCCTCATTTCCCTCCTCCCTTCTCCCTCCTCTCTCCTGCCTCCTCCCTCCCTCCTTTTTTCTCTCTCTACCCTCTCTCTCTCTTTCTCTCTCTCTCTCTCTCTCTCTCTCTCTTTCTCTCTTTCTCTACCTCTCTGATCTGTCTTTGTGTTTCTGTTTGTTTGTTCTCTCTTTCTCTCTCTCTTTCTCTCTTTCTCTCTCTCTCTCTCTTTCTCTCTCTCTCTCTCTCTCTGCCTCTAATCAACCGCTCCCCCCCTCGCTCCTTCTCTCCTGGCGTGTTCCCTCTTCCTTCGTTCCTCCCCCTCCCTTCCTCCCACTTTCCCTCGTTCACTCCCTCCTTCTTTTGCAAGGCCCACACCAATTCCAATGGCGGGCACATGTACGCCCACGAAGGATTGTCCGCACGTTCAGGTTTGCCCACCTGTCTAAGCCCGCCGCCCCCCGCAAAGAGAAGGAATCCCCCCAAAGGGGGTGTGATCGAAGACAACAAGGGCGGGTATCGAGGGTGTGGGAAACTCGTTTTGAATGACACACGGGCAAATAAGACCGAACAGTCTTAGAATGATTGGTGTTGTTAATGTTGATGTTGTTGTTGCTGCTGTTGGTGTTGTTGTTATTGTTGTTGTTATTGTTGTTATTGTTGTTCGTTGTCGTCGTCCCACCCGCGACCCACCCGCGACCCACCCCGCGACCCACCCCGCGACCCACCCCGCGACCCACCCCGCGACCCCACCCGCGACCCACCCGCGACCCAACCCGCGACCCACCCCGCGACCCACCCGCGACCCACCAGCGACCCACCCGCGACCCACCCGCGACCCACCCCGCGAACCATCCGCGAGACATCCGCGACCCACCCGCGACCCACCCCGCAACCCACCCTCACGGGAGGAAAAACAACCCGGACCCGACAATTGACGTTTACTAAACGGCCCAGGGCATTTACTAAACAGCCGTGCCCTACTCAATTCATTCAATGTGTGCGTTTACTAAACGGCTTCGCTTGTCGGGGTGATTATTATGGGGTGGAATTTCTGCACTCTACACCCGAGTCCCACCCGCGACCCAACAGCGACCTACCCGCGACCCACTTGCGACCCACCCACGACTCACCCGCGACCGATCACGAAAAAAAACGGCGCCTGCGGCGGGCTCGTTGTCAGAGTGAGGGGGCTGAACCGAACGGTCATTCACTGTCCCTGGGTGCGTGGCTGAAGAGGAATTCCGCGATGCGGATCCTTGTTGTTGTTGTTGTTGTTGTTGCTGTTGTTGTTGTTGAACATTATTAATTCTAAAGAATAATTATTGTTGGGACCCCTGGTGCACGGCCCCCCTGCGCCGCCTAGGCCGCAGCTACATTTTCATCATTTTCGTGAGGAAGCCTCAGGTAATTCGATGTGATCAAGATCCGGTTGTTTTGTTCCCCCCCGCTTTCCCTTGCAAAAAACACTATAAAATGACATTTCTTGTTCTAATATAATCAAATTTCAAGAATCCCTTGCAAAAAATAAGGTAAAGTGGACATTCGCGCGCGCAAGACGAAATCCTTCCAAAAGCTTAGTGTTCGGAGCGATTTTAACATAAAAACATCAAAAAACCAATGGTTTTTCAACAAAAAAATGTCAAAATCTCATCCCGCGCGCTCTTGCGGATTCGTAGGAAACCCAACACTTTTTAAACATTTCTGTCAAACGGGCTTTTGCGAGCAACTTTTTCGAACTTCTGCGACAACGGTTGCGCACCTGCCAGGGCCATCATCCCTGTCAAATAATACCATGCGGGACACATTCGTTTTTTCTTCGCGCGCGCACGCCGAAATCTCCAAAAACCATTGGGCTTCTTAAGAATTTTAGCACCGCGCATCATAAAATCACACGAATCGCACCGTAGGTCCTCGAAAAACACCTGCACGACTTTTCAAAATTTCTACCCGCGCGCGCTGTCCTAACAACTTCTGTGGGTGTGTACTCCACGCCAGTGTAGTAGCCACGGTCGTCCGCAGGCCACGAAGTGAAGTGTCCGAACGTCATAGGGCGGGAAGCTGGGTGTGGGTGGTGGCGAAGAGTCGTGTGGATATTTGGTAGAGCTTGCACTGCCCCCCCACAAAGTGGGGGTATTGGCTGGCGTCGCATGAAAACCCTGGCACTGGTGAGAACACTGAGCGTTCGGGTAAAGTGATTGTTGTTGTTGTTGTTGTTGTTGTTGTTGTTGTTGTTGTTGTTGTTGTTGTTGTTGTTGTTGTTGTTGTTGTTGTTGTTGTTGTTGTTGTTGTTGTCGTCGTCCCGCCCGCGATCCGCCCCGCGACCCACCCACCAGCGACCCGCCCCGCGACCCACCCGCGACCCACCCGCGACCCACCCCGCGACCCACCCACGACCCACCCCGCGACCAACCCGCGACCCACCCGCGACTCACCCGCGACCCACCCCGCGACCCTCCCACGACCCACCCCGAGACCCCCCCTGGCGACCCACCCGCGATCCACCGGCGACCCACCCGCGACCCACCCGCGACCCACCCCGCGACCCACCCGCGACCCACCCCGCGACCCGCCCGCGCCTCACCCGCGACCCACCCGCGATCCACCCCGCGACCCGCCCGCGACCCACCCCGAGACCCTCCGGCGACCCACCCGCGACCCACTGGCGCGACCCTCCCGCGACCCACCCGCGACCCACCCGCGACCCCCGCGACCCACACGAACCTTTTCCCAGGTGGAGAACCTGCGACCCACCCGCGACCCAAACCGCGCCCGCGACCCACCCCGCGACCCACCGCGACCCACCTGCGACCCACCCGCGACCCACCCCGCGACCCACCCAAAATTTTCGGTGCCTGTGGCGGGCTTCTTTTGCATTCGCTCTAGGTGGAGAACCTGCGACCCACCCGCGACCCAAACCGCGTTCAGTGTACAAATCAAAATGTTCGGCGCCTGCGGCGGGCTTTTTTGAATTCCTTCCAGGTGGAGGTAGAGAGCCCGCGACCCACCCGCGACCCAAAGTACGAGGGCGAGGAAACCGACGACGAGGGCGAGGAGGAACAGGAAGGGGGGACGGAGGGGGACGACGAGAAAGGAGGGAGGAGGATGGGGAGGAGGAGGACGACGACGACGACGGAAAGGAGGAGGGGGGAGGATGGGGATGGGGGAGGAAGAGGAGGAGGAGGAGGAGGAGGAGGAGGAGGAGGAGGAAAAAGAGGAAGAGGAGGAGGAGGAGGAGGAGGCGGACGACGACGACGACGACGATGAGGACGAGGACGCGGACGAGGAAGAGGAGGAGGAGGAGCAGGAGGAGGAGGAGGAGGGCGCCATCGACAAGGAAGGTGAGGGCCACGAGGTCCGCCGGCTCGACGCCCGCGTCGCCCGCGCCCGCCCCCTCACTCTTATCTGCAATTGCGGTGCGCTACGTATAAATTGTGAAACTTCGGCGCCTGCGGCGGACTTCTCCAGAGTCTCGCGAACTGCCGACGTCCCCACCGCCCCCTCACTCTTATCCGCATCTGCGGGGTGCTACGTATTACGTTTGCCTATTTGGGATTTTTTCTCCTGCAGAGGCACAGGCAGGACTTAAGATCACGGGGAGGGGGGGAGGCTTCTTAGAAGGAGGCTGCTTCTCAGAAGGCACGGGCCTGACATCTCGAGAAAAGGCCCGCGCCTTTAAAGAAGCAGGGGTGCTTCCAAGAAGCCTTGCCCCCTCCCCCTTACCCCCCTCTGCGCGTGGCTGATCCTCCCCTACCCAGTACCCAGACCCCCTCGAGCAATGAAAAAAATGCGACGGGAGGATTTTCGCTATTGTCGGCCTCTGGGGGCCCTTCCTGGGCCTCGAGACCGTGAGAAAACGACCCGGGATGCGAAACCGGTCCCGGAGAACAGGTCGAAACCGCTGGGGGTCGACGTCACGAAAAAATCAGGACGTCGGGGGTCTGGGTACCCCACTTCAGCGGAGAAGGTGGCGGAGCAGAGCAGAGCAGACCCTGAGAACCGACGCGGCCAACAAAGAAGCAGAGCAAAGCATCCAGGCCAGGGCCTCCGACGCCGTGCTTCTGAGGCGCTGCTCGAGCCGGATCGATCTGCGAGGGCCCAGCCGGGCCGGTCCAGGCGAGAACGCCTGCCACGAGCCAGGCTGCGGCGCCAGGGAGAGGCGAGCGGAGAGGCGGCGAGCGAGGCGGAGAAGGCAGGGGCGCCGCGGGGCGGCCGTGCGACTCACCTGCCCTCGCAGCCGCCGCCGGCGGGCACCCCGGCCTCCACGAGCTGCCCCAGCACCGCGTCGCACAGCGCCCGCGCGGCCGTGTGGTCCGCGCTCCGCACCGCGACTCGGGCGCTGCCGGCGTGGCGCCCCGAGCCGACCTCGACGCGCACGAGGCAGGCGTCCTCCAGCGGGCTCGCGCCCTCGCCCGCGGCGGCGATCTGCGAGGCGAAGGCGAGGCTGCAGGGGCCAGCGTCGACGTCTGGCGGCGCGCGCAGCAGGGTGCGCGTGCCGCGAGGGGGGGGCCCACGAGCGCTGTGGGGCCTTCTCCTCAGCAGGGCCCTGCCAGCCTCTGGGGAGGCCTCTTGCATGCAAGCCTCGGGGACCTTCGGAGCCCAGAGGAAGAACAAAAACAGAAACTAACACCGTCAGACGGTCCGCGCCGACTTCCCGGGTCTGCGCTGGACCCCCCTCCCTGGCGCGCCAGAGGCGCCGCCAGGGGGGGGCCCAGCGCGGATCCAAGAACTCCGCGCGGAGCGCCAAAAGCTTGTGCGTGTCGCGCGTTCTCTTCCTCGATGCATGGCAGCCTCGGGGGCCTTCGAGGCCCCCCGCCTCCTCACGTGGGGGGGGGCCGCCCCCCTCGCGCCGGCCCCTGTCGTGCGCGCCGCCGGGCTGTCGTGGTGGAGCCTCAGCGCGCCGCCGAGGGCGGCACACCTGGCCACCTGCGCCAGGGGCACGCCCCGCAGGCGCGCGGCCAGCTGCGCCGTGCAGGACGCCTCGCCCAGGGCGAAGGACGACCGCCGCCAGAGGGCGAAGAACTCCTGCGAGGAGAGCTCGCGGCCGGCCAGGAACTTCGCGAGCGTGACGGGCAGCCTCGTCTGCACCCGGCGCGGGCTCGAGTCCGGCAGCAGGAAGGCCACGCGGAGCCAGGGCATCTCCACGAAGGGGTCCAGCAGGGCCACGGTGAGCCGCTGCATCACCTGCTTGCCCGCGCCCACCTGCTGGCTCAGGGGCGGGGCGCTGAGGCGCAGGGCCTTCTCCTCGGGGACGAGATACTGCACCGTGAAGTTCTCGAGGGGCGCCGCGCCCTTGTTGCCGAAGTACACGGCGATCTGCCCGCTCCGCCCAGAGTACTCCGCCTTGATGCCGATCTGGAGGACCTCGTCCTGCGGGGGCCCCAAAGCGGTGCGGTGGCAGGCCGTGCGGTGACCCCGACATCCCCAGAGACCTCACCGCACGGCCCGTTGCCGAACGGCTTCGGGACCCTGGAAGCCGCCGTCGCCCGAGACATCCGGGGAGAACGGCCCGAGCCCCAAAACCCTGCGGCCACCGAGAGTCCCCACTGACTCACCCGGCGGAGTTGCCACCGCGCCGGTCTTGGGGCTCCCGAGTCCTCGTAGAGGACCGCGTCGTTCAGCAGGCACAGCCTCTGGAGCCGCTCGGCGTTGCTGCCCGCGGGCGCCAGCGAGGGCACCTCTGCAGAGGCGCCACCGAGCTCTCCGAGTTCCCGCCAGGTCCTGCCCAGCGGCGGCGATGACCCCGTCGCCGGGGAGCCCGGCGTGCGCGCCGAGGCCCGGGCCGGGGAGCGCAGGGCCGCGGCCGGCGGCCCGCCGAAGGCGCCTCCAGCCTCCGGGGCGCCGGCCGCGAAGAGGCCGCCCGCGGCGCTGGCGGCGTAGCCGCCGTCGAAGGACCCCGACAGGTCGTGCGCGGTCGAGGTGCGCGGGGCAAGGCCGCCGCTGCCTCCCAGGAGTCCTCCGCGGGCGTGGCCGCCGAGGACCTCGTGGCCAGAGGACAGCCCGTTGAGGAGCCCGCTCTTGGTCGGGGCACCGCCAGCGTCGGCGCGGGCTGGGTGTCCGACGCCGTCGACGAGCACCTGGAGCTGGCGCACCTCGCGCTGCGCCTCCCTGTAGCGGTCGGCCACCTCGTCGTGGCGCCTCTCCTGGGCCGCCAGGCGGTCTTCCGCGGACGTGAGCTGGTCGGCCAGCCGGGACGCCCGCACGTTCTCCTTCATCCACATGTCCTTGGCGTGCGCGAGCAGCTGCTCGCGGTCCTTCAGCTTAGCCTCTATCTGCTCTGACTTGGTGCGGAACGTTCGGGCGGACTCGTTCGCCTGCAGCAGCTCTGCCTCCACGGCCTCGAGCTGCTGCGACAGCTGCTGGCACCTCCTCTCCAGGGCCTCCACCTCCAGGCTCGCGCGAGGCCTGGCCGGCTCTGGCTCTGGCGCCTGCGCCTGCGCCTCCGGCCGGGCCGCTCCGCCCGCGGCGGTCTTGGTCAGCTGCCTCTCGAGCTTGGCGATCCGGTCCACCAGCTCAGCGTTGGTCATGCCCAGAGCTCCGCCGCCACCCACGGCTGGACCGACGCCAGCGGGCTGCGCGGCCGGAGCCCCGCGGGCGCCGCGCGGCGACGCGTCCCTCGGCGGCAGGCTGGCCAGGGCGCGCGGCTCGTGGCCCTCGGCGCGGACGGCCGGCGCCGGCGCCGGCTCGGGCGGCGCGGGCGCGGGCGCGGGCGGCTCGGGCGGGGCGCCGAAGGCGGCGCGCGAGGGGTCGTCGCTCCCCCCCAGCGAGGGGCCGCTGAGGCGTGCCCTCGAGGCGAAGCTCCCGAACTCGCCGCGCCGCAGCGCACTGCCGGCATCGGCGAGCTGGCGCTCCAGGTCCCGCAGTACCAGCGCGGCTTCCCGCTCCCCCGCGGCCGCCGGCAGCACCTCGAAGTCCACGACGAGGCCCGACATCTCCGCGGGGGGCCGCGGCGGAGGGCGAGGAGGTGCCCTCGGCGGCCGCGTCAAGCCCCGCCGCTGTCATGCGCGCGGAAGCGCGGCATGCGCGCGCCCGCGGCCCGGCTGCGGCGCACAGCGGGGGGGGGGCCTCGCGCTGCGGCCAGCATGGTTGCGGCCCTCTCTGAGTCCCAGCCGAGCTCAGCTCAGAACCAGTCCCCAGACCCTTCTCGGGGTCCGTCCTGTCCCTGATTGATGCTGGGGCTGCCCTGGGGCCCGGAAGCCCGAAGTCGGCCCCCAGGACGCCGAAGCTGAAGAACCAGCACTGCAGCTGCGCGAGGATGCGCACGGAGCGCCAGGGGAAAAAGCCCGTGGAAGGACCCCTATCTCAAAGCTCCGACTGCACACGAAGGACCAACCCTGCAGTCAACCCGTGAAACAAGGATGCGCGGTAAGGATGCAGGGGCCTTGGAAGGCCACGTCGGCGCTCTGGGGGCGAGGCGCGGCCAGCGAAAGTGGCCAGGGATAGGCCGAGGCGGGCCGAGGAGGCAAGGATGCAAGGGGTACCCTTGAGAAGGTTGCCCATCCTTACCATGCGGGTTGACTGTACCGTACCTCTCGAAGTGCGTCTGCGGGGCGCGAGTTCGGTGGCAACTCATGGGAGCCTCCCATGCCCTCTCGTCGGTTCTTGGGAATCGACGCTCGTCGACGCTAAATCGAAGCTGATCGACGCTACATCGACGCTCAATCGGCGCTAGACGACGCTATATCGGCGCTATCTCATCGACCCCAGACGCTAATCGACGCTAGTCGACGCCAAAGACGGCATGCAGGGGGCATACCGGTGGCTCCCATGCCTTGCCACCGAAACGCGAGGGAGGCCCCGTGAACGACCCGCGCAGACCCCCGACGTCATGATTTGTTCATGACGTCGACCACCAAAAGCTTCGACCTATTCCCCGGGACCTGTTTTTCGTCCTGAATCCAGGGGGCTACATGCGAACCCTACCCCTACCCCCCCCCCTCAGAAATCGTGGGGGGTAGAGGTAGGGATCGCATGTGGCCCCCCCAGAATCGTTTTCGGGTGTTTGTTTTGAGCAGGGACCGACCGTCCCGGCATTCCTATAGTCCTACCACGAAATGCTCTTAGAACCCAAAAATGTTCTGAAAACAAAAACAATTCTAATAACATAACCCCCATGTGCTAAAACAAACAATCTCCGCCAGAAATGTTCTAAGAACATTTCGTGGAAACCACAAGAAGTTCTTAGAACATCGCTTGTCAGGGCGATAGGCGAGCCAGGACGCTTCGCCAGTGCTCGATTGTTGACGGTCCTGAGGCCCGGCAAGGGCCCCCATGGAAGCCGACAACTTTGAAGGAGCCCTGGGACACACAAATAAATACACACAAACAAACAGATTCCCCATAGTTTCCTATATTTTCTGGGTTTCTGTCTCCCCCCCCACTTCCCATATGTTCCCATATTTTCTGGGAATCGACGATGAATTGTGTCTGTATGTTTTTTCCCTCCTGACACTTGGAAGAAGAACCCGTCGTGATTTTCTCTTCCTCGCTCGAGGGGGCTCCGGCCTCCGAGGCGCCCGCGGCCGCGCACGCCGAGGCCTGCGCCCGGGCGCGCCCGCGGGGCCAATATAGAGGCAACACCGCCTCGCGCCGTGCCCGCCGCTCGCCGCCCCGGCCTCCTCCGCCTCGGGGGCCGCGCGGCTCCTGCCGTCGCTCGGACGTCCCTTTCCCGTGCATGTTTCGGTCTTGCGCGTGTTTTTTGGGCTCGCTGGTCCAGCATGGTCCTCGACGATGCTCGCCGAGAAACATGCACACGTCCGAGCGATGACAGAAGCTCGGGGGCCGCGCGCCCCCCCCCCTCGCTGGGTCCCGTGCGGCAGGGTCCCTCGCAGGGCTGCCGAGCACCCAGAGCCCCATCTACAAGTCGGGCCTGTCCCTCTACAAGGGGAAGATTCAAAAATAGTCCAAAAATAGTCTGGGGACTATTTTTTGGCAATTTTTGAATATGTTTAGGTATTTTTTGGGGTATTTTTAATGTTTCGTCCAAAATCGGCCTGTAGGGGGACAGGCCCGACTTAACCCCTCGCGCTGCGACGAGAAGCCCGGGGCGCCGTGATTTTTGTCGCAGCGCGAGGGGGTCTCAAACAGTGGGCGAGACGGGGTCTCAGCGCCAGGGGACTGTTGCCGAGACTGGGCGCGAAAGACCTCCCGCGGGAAGTCTTTCGCCCAGTTTCGGCCTCTGGGGCCCTCACCGGGCTTCGGGACCGTCGAACAACGACTCGGGATGAGACAGCGGTCCTGGGGAAGGGGTCGAAACCTCTGGGGGTCGACGTGGTGAAAAAACCGTGGCGTCGGGGGTCTGGGAATCGGGGGCTGATGGAACAACGACTCCAACACCACCGGGGACCACCAGCCGGAGGAGCCAAGGGGGGTCCCCCTGGTGGTGTGGTCGCCCCCTCTCGCTCGAGACGTCCCCCATCCCCAGCTCGGGGAGGCCTCGTGCACCTCCAGGCTGGAGGTGGCCCGCTCGTGGTGGTGTCGCTTCTCCTTCCCGCGAGCCGAAGGGTCCCTAGCCGCCCAAGGCGGGGCGGGGCATCATCTTTCATCTGCTTTGGCCGCACTCTTCAACTCACGCACGAGTGGACACACGTCGGGACACCAATATCGATTTGCATCACGGCCGTCTTCCTCTCATGATCGATCAATCGATCCCACCATCTCGCTATCGGGGCAGCAGCCGGGACAACCCTCAGGACAACCAGCTTGGGAACCCCTCCGTGGGCCCTCGGGGCCTCGCGAGAGCCTGCTCTCTAAAGGGCACCCAGGCCTCCCTGGAACGCCTAAAGCCACCTCTGGCCGGGGCCGCCCCCGGCGACGCCCGACACGAGCGTGGGGAGGCCCCCGCCCCTGCCTCGACGGCGCTGCGCGCCACGCGTCGGAGCGCTTCCAGGCGCGCGGTGGCCCTCTGCGACAAGGGCCGCTTCGGGGCTGTCGGCCGGGGCGGCGCCACCAGGCGCTCGCTGCGGCTGCCAGAGTACTCTACCCTCTCTTTGTCGTCAGCTCCTGCCGCCGTGTGCCGCGCCGCCGTCCACGCTGCCACCGCCCTCGTCACTCTTGATGTCGATCATCGCTCAACGTTCGTCGCTGTTCGTCGGCCGTGGCCGCTGCTGCGGGTGCACCGAGGCTCTGGGGGGCACGGGTCCTAGGCCGTGGGGCTGTCGCCAAGACCAGCTTGTCATCCTGAGTCGTTTTTGACGGTCCCGGGGCCCATGGAGGGCCACGGGAGACCGAAAACAACGAAACAACTCAAGGTTCGGTTTCCTCCAGGACCGACGAGAAAGCTCGAAAACGATAGCGCACGCCGTGGGCCGTCGAAGGGTCAGAAAACGTGCTGCGTGCAGTCGACCTGAGCACTGCCTGAGGCTTGCGTCCTCCTCAGAGTGCCGACAACCACCCAGAAGTTTCTCGATCTTCGGTCATCCCTCCTCTTCGATTAACCCTCCGCCTCCTCGACCAACGATCCTCAGGAGGAGGAGGAGGAGGAGGAGGAGGAGGTGGCGGCCCCCCTGGCGTGGACCCGATTCGGCACTGCCTGAGGCAAGGGACGCTAAGAGGGGACTGGCTTCGGGGGGGTCATCAAAGAACTTGCGTCGGCGATACATCGCAGGTAGATCTGCGATAGGCTCCCGATTATTAGCCAAAACGTACGTTCCTGGGCGCGGTGGACTATCTGGCCCCAGTTGGCAATGAGTGGGCGATTGGAGGCCGACGCGTTCCTCCAAGAGCCTACCCCCCCTCATCGTTGCCGCTAGATCCTCGTCCCCCGCCTCGCCCGCTGTCCCAGGGGGCGCCTCGGCTGCTCTTGGTGATGGTGGCGCCTCGGATGTCGGCGGGGCCGATTCCCGATCCGTGTGGCGGCAAGTCTTTGCACTGGGGAGGCGGGATCAGTCCTCCTTCTCCTCCTCCTCTTCCTCCTCCTCCTCCACCTTCTCCCTCTCCTCCTCCTCCTCCTCCTCCTCCTCCTCCTCCTCCTCCTCCTCCTCCTCCTCCTCCTCCTCCTCCTCCTCCTCCTCCTCTTCCTTCTACTCCTCCTCCTCCTCCTCCTCCTCCTCCTCCTCCTCCTCCTCCTCCTCCTCCTCCTCAACATCATAAGCAGCAGCAGCAGCAGCATCAACAACATCACCATCATCACCGCCACCAACACCAATCAAAGCAACCTAATCATCAGCAGCAGCAGCAGCAGCAGCGTCAGCGACACTATCCTCATCAACATCATCATCATCATCATCATCATCATCAGCAGCAGCATCATCATCAGCATCATCATCCTCATCATCATCATCATCATCACCGCCAACAACAACAGCATTATCATCAACTTCATCATCATTACCATCATCATTACCACCGACAGCATCAGCAGCAGCCGCAGCAGCAGCATCATCATTACCATCATCATCATCATCATCATCATCATCATCATCACCACCATAATCATCATGTTTAGCAGCAGCATCATGATCAGCAGCATCAGCATCAGCAGCATAAGTTCCATCATCATGATCATCATCAGCAGCATCATCACCATCACCATCAAAATCACCAGCACCATCATCAGATCGGCATGATCATATAAGCATTGCCATCATCAGACCAGCATCATCAACATCATGAGCATCATCATCTGCATTCGCATAATCAGTTTAAGCAGTATAGGCATCGGCATCATCATCGTAATCATCAGCATAATCGTCATCGGCGTCGTCGGCATCCTCATCGTCAGCATCAGCAGCAGCAGCATGAACATCACCGTCGCCACCATCAGCATCATCACTATCAGCATCGCCATCGTCTTCTGCATCCGTACCATAATCACCAGCAGCATCAGCATCACCGCATATGCATCATCATCAGCATCAGCATCACCATGATCATATGTGCCGTTACCCGTATCGATACCAGTAGTAGTATTACTGGCATCGCCAATATGATCCGCGGCCTTGCACAACTTCATCGTCGATTGCCTCATCCTCACTCATCCCGTCCATCCTTCCCCCTTCACTTCCCATACATACCATCTCTCACCACTTCTCCCCCGCACTACTCCTGCTCCTCCTCTTCCTGCATGTCCTCCTTCTCCTCCTCATCCTCCTCCTCCTCCTCCTCCTCCTCCTCCACCCTTCTCACCCATCACTCCTAACTCCATACTCCTCACGCCTCACGACCTCAATCCTCCTGCTACTCCTCCTCTGTTTCCTCATCCTCCTCTCCCTTCTCTTCCTCTAACTCAGCCACCTCTTCCTCCTCCTCCTCCTCCTCCTCCTCATCCTCATCGTCCTCCTCCTCCTCCTCCCCCTCCTTCTAATCAGCATCCTCATTCCTCAATCCGCATCCTTACTCCTTAACCTCCTCCTCCTCTTCCTCCTCCTCCACCTCCTCCCAGCCATCATCATCATCATCATCATCATCATCATCATCATCATCATCATCATCATCATCATCATCATCATCATCATCATCATCATCGTCATCGTCATCGTCATCATCATCATCATCATCATCAGCAGCAACAGCAGCAGCAGCAGCATCAGCATCAGCATCAGCATCAGCATCAGCAGCATCAACAGAGTCAGCATCAATATCATGATCAGCATCATCATCAGCATCACCACCATCGTCGTCATCACCATCAGCATCATCAGCATCAGCAGCATGAGCATCATCATCAGCATCATCAGCAACATAGTCATCGTCATCAGCAGTAGCAGCATCATCAGCTTCATCAGCACCATTAGCATCATAGCATCATCATCATCATCATCATCATCATCATCATCATCAGCATCATCATCAACATCATCAGCATCAGGTTCAATAGCATCATCATCAGCAGCATCAGCAGCAGCATCGTCATCATCATCAGCAGCATCAGCATCATCACCAGCACCAGCAGCATCATCACCAGCATCGCCATCAGCAGTATCAGCATCCGCCTCGTCATCGCCAGCATCAGCATCATCACCATCATCAACAACATGATAAGCATCATCATCAGCAGCATCATCATCACCATAATCAGCATCATCAACATCACCAGCATCAGCATCATCATCACCGTCAGCATCATCATCATCAGCATCATCATCATCAGCATCATCATCATCATCAGCATCACCATTCATTCGCATCAGCATCAACATCTCCATCATCAGTTTCATCAGCATCATCATAATCAACCGCAGCAGTATCAGCATCAGTTATCTTCATCAGCAGCATCATCATCAGCAGCAGCGACATCAGCAGCATCATTAACATCATCATCAGCATCATCAGCATCAGCATCAACGTCATCAGCAGCATATGTGCCATCATCATCAGTATTATCATCATGAGCATCATCGTTAGCAGCAGCACCATTATCATCATAATCAGAATCATCAGCGTCAGCATCAGCATCATCTTCAGCAGCAACATCGTAATCATCCTCATCTTAACCGTCACCACCACCACCACCCTCACCACAACCGTCATCATCAGCATCATCATTACCATCATCAGCATCATCACCATCATCATCATCATCATTATCATCATCATCAGCATCACCATCATCATCGGCATGATCATCATCATCCTCATCATCATCCTGATCCTCACTCCTCATCCTCAGCCTCATCCTCACATTCATCCTCATCCTCATCCTCGTCGTCATCGTCGTCGTCACCATCAGAATCACAATCATCACCACCACCACCACTTGTCCTCCGTCTCATCCTCCCGCCTCCTCCTCTTCCTCATCCATCCATCCTGCCCCCACTGACCCATCCATCCTGCTCTACCCATCCATCCATCCATCCATCCTCCCCCCCTCCCTCATGGGGCCAGGGCTAGGGCTGGCTGGGCAGGGGACCAGGCACTGCCCAGCGGACGCGCACTGCCCGGCTGCGTAGCTTCCGCTCCTCCTCCTCCTCCTCCTCCTCCTCCTCCTCGGCCTCCCCAGCTTCATCAGCATCAGCAGCAGCATCAGCATCAGCATCATCATTAGCAGCGGCATCGTACTCATCCTCATCTGCACCATCACCACCACCACCATCACCACCACCACCACCACCATCATCATCATCATCATCATCATCAGCAGCAGCAGCAGCAGCATCAGCATCATCATCCACATCATCATCAGCAGCATCAGCACCATCATCAGCAACATGCTACTCCTCCTCCTCCTCCTGCTCCTCCTCCTCCTCATCCGCCTCCCCAGCTTTATATTCATCGATATCCCCCGAATCATCATCAACATTTGAAGCAGCAGCAGCACCATCAACATCAACAGCAGCAGCATTATCACTATCAGCATGTTCATTCGCATCAGCATCATCATCGGCGTCGTCATCGTCATCTTCGTCGTCAACAACATCGGTATCATCATCAGCAACATTATCAGCAGCATAATAATTATCATCGTCATCGTCATCATCCGCAGCATCATCATCAACATCAGCATCATCATCACCTTCATCTTGATAATCAATATCATTGCCGCCACCATCCGCATGATCGCCATCACCGTCACCAACAACAACATCATCATCATCATCATCACCGGCCAAAGCCGCGTCATCACCACCATTCACTCCACATAGCCCTACGCGTCATCATCATCAGCGTCAGCATCATCAACACCATCAGCACCGTCAGCATTACAACCACCAGCATCGTCATCATCACCATCACCATGATCGTCATCATCATCATCAGCAGCAACATCATCATCAGATGCATCCGCATCAGCACCATCATCACCGTGGTCGTCAACAGCGTTATCAGCATCATCATCATCATCATCATCATCATCATCATCATCATCAGCAACATCGTCATCATTGTCATCGTCAGCATCGCCATCACCAACTTTGGCAATCGCACCATCATCAGTATCATCGTCATCATCATCAGCATCATCATCAGCATCATCATCATCATCATCATCATCGACGTCAGCATCATCATCATCATCAGCATCATCAGCGTCATCATCGTCATCATAAGCATCGTCATCGTCGTGATCATGTGCAGCATCTGCATCAGCATCATCATCATTATGAGCCGCAGCCGCATCAGCATCAACATCATCATCATCATCATCATCATCATCATCATCATCATCATCATCATCATCATCATCATCATCATCATCCTCGTCATTATCATCCCCGTCCGCATCCTCATTCTTATCCCCCTCATCCTCCTCCTTATCCCCCTCATCCTTATCCTTATCCTCATCATCAGTTCCCTCGTCTTCTTCCTCCTCCTCCTCCTCATCATCATCATCATCACTGTCATCGTTGTCACCGTCACCACCGTCAGCAGCGAAAGTAACAGCAGCATCTAGTTGCATCATCATCATCAGCAGCACTATCATCATCATCATAGTAATCAGCATCAGCATCAGCACCAGCATCAGCATCATGGTCATCATCATCATCATCAGCATCATCATCATCATCATCATCATGATCAGCATCAGCATGATCATCATTATCAGCATCGTCAGCATCGCCATTATCGTCAGCAACACCATCATCATCATCATCATCAGCATCATCATCAGCATAATCGGCATCATCATCATCGTCATCGTCGTCGTCATTGTCATCATCATCATCATCATCAGCATCATCATCATCATAATCATCATCATCATCACCATCATCATCAGCAGCAGCAGCATCGTCACCAGCATCATCATCATCATCATCAGATGCATCATCTCCATAATCATCCTCCGTATCATCAGAATCGTTCTCAGCGTCAGCATCATCACCATCATCATGATCGTCATCAGCATCATCATCCTCACCATCATAAGCACCATCGT